ATTTGTAACATTGATGTCTTTACAATTTATATTGTTGTTATACAATAATGTTGAAGAAACGTAATGCCCAGCATCATCTTTTTTCATCTGCATATGCCGTAATAACAGAACAGGTGCAAAATTACAGCTAAATAAGCGTAATAAGTTAATATAAAGTAGCTGTAAAATTACAAAATCAAATAAAATTTCATTGAACTGAAATTGCTAATGTCCCCTTTAATTTCAATTCGAAAAAGTGTTCTTCAAGAGGTGGTATAAAATAATATACCATGTATTACGATATCATTTGAGACAAAATCTTTCGAAGTTCATTACGTTTCATTTAAAAGGCATTCGTATACGGCTCCAACTAACTTCAACACTGTAATATTATCGATATTATTATTAAATAACATTTACTGTACCTAAATTTAATAATAAAATACCTAAATCACAATATGTTTTGCCATTAATCGATGGCAATGAGTTGGTATCTTTCCAATCTATTTTTCATTTTTTGCAGTTTCGTTATTCTGCCGAATGAACAGTTTCAGAATGCAAATAATTGGGACGAATCAGAGATCGCAGTGACAAAAGAACAAAATTCAAATATTCGCGGAACAAAGCTATCATTTATATTTAAAAATACTATGCAATTTACAAAGCTGTATAAAAAAAATTTAGCATCGTTCGGCTGTCAATGGCGGGAAATATAATGTTGTATTAATTTTGCTGCGTTGGAAATAAATTCACATATGTACATCTGGTTATTGTATCGCTGTTACGAATGATGCAAGTGGAAAATTGGTTCAAAAATTTTTCGTCAATGCGAACTCGCTTATACGTTTTAATTATGTTTACACTCCTAGACTTATGCGCAACGTATCACACCTGATTAAGCGGTGATGACGTAAGTTTCAAGTCATTAATTTGCAATTCCGATTAATAAAAAAAACGGGAAAATTATTGTACTTATTAGTGAAATAGAATTAACAAATATACGCGTCGTGTCAAATTATTACATACAGTAGTGTCTCTTTTTATAATTAGGCTGGAGTAAATGTTCCATAGGTATAATGTAGCTACCTAAAGTCTTGTGATTTTCACGATAAGCTTTATTAAAGCAAATGTGTTTCTCTTTTATATTAAGGCGTTTAAGTTCAGGGATAAAAAACAAATGGCTAATTAGTAGGCTGTGCACTAAGTGCTTCGTATAATGCTTGTTGCTGATCTGCTGTTAATGCATTTATGCATGCTTGGAACATAGACTCGTTGTTCTAAAACAAACAAACAATACGTATATGTGTTATACAGTATAAATTATAATTTATAATACAAGAACGATTGATGCAAATAATTCTATTAGTCTTAACGTAACATACCTGTATTTGTCTAACGATACTAAGAATTCTGCCCATAACAGGATTGTCTGAAGGTACTGCATCCTTGTGAAGTGCTTCAGCAAAGAAACTTATTAGTCGAGGTAGATTTGCATTATTTGGACCTAAAACTGCTACATGATTTGCTTCGATTAAATCGCAAAGATACCCATATACGTGGGGAGCTTCATCTTCGTCTTCTACTACTGGTAACCAAGAGAGCCTATATTTAAATAATAAAAATACAATATTTATTCAGGGAAATTATTGACACAAAACACATCCATACTAAGTTCTCGAAAATCACTTTCATTTCTAAAATGCTCTAAAATCTTTTGACTACATTTCAATCCCAACAACCGATCAGAAACCAGTCGAATATACAAAATATTCAGCAATAGTTGAGTATGCTATTTTAACTTGTTATCTTTTCTAAAAATAGTTTCTAATAAAGAAAAGTTTTTTAAATTTGAGAAACATATAAGAACAAAATTTATAGATTCTTATTTGATTACATTAATTCTGTGTAATTTACAATAAAAAAATATAATATTCTTTATATTCTTCTTGCTAAACTTGATAGCATTTTTAAGAATTTTTTTAGAAAACTATAATATGAAGGAATGGATAACTTACCAATGTGGAAGTATTTCATCAACGTTAATTGCTTTGTGATTATACTTGAGGATTTTTGTGACTGCAGAAATAGCATTTTCAGTAGGGTTAACATTTTCTATAGATCTGGATTCTTGATCACTTATAACTTCCATTAACCTAGGTAGGGCTTCTGCACATGCTTGAGCAAATGCTTCTCCTCCATATTGACCCAAAACTCCGCAACCATAAGCTGCAGCTTGTCTAACTTCTGCTGATTTATCTGACACATATTGTATCATCGGTCGAAGGAAATATTCTTGATATTTTGCACACTCGGGTCCACCAAATTCGATTACATCGTCAAAAACACACAAAGCCCATTGGTGATCTGACCAAGGTCTTTCGGGACTCAATAATTTTACAAAATGTCCACAAATTTGATCGAAAAATGGGAAGAATGTTGATTTATGAGTCATAAATAAAGCATGTAAAATGTCTGCTATTTTACTGAGTGTATATACATCTTCATCGTCTTCATCGGCGAGTTGTTCTTCTACCACCTAATATAGTCACGCGCGAAAATTTATATTTAAATACAATTATGATGAAATTATATTGCATTGATTCATAAATATTTGCGAAATGTAAGTAGACAAGCATTAAATCATAATTTCATATATTTTACCTCATCGTAATCTTCATCTTTACGTTTTTCCAATCTAGCCACTGCTCTTTCAAAATGTTTGTTAAGTAATTTATCTAATATACGTAAAAGTTCAGCCATAGGTTGCGCTCCTAAACAACCTGTACCGAGGGTTTCGATACATTTAGCTAAAGAATATAATAATTCCAGCAGGACTTCAGATTCTGGTTCTGTGTCAATTGCTTTTAAGAGGTCTGGACAAATGTATGCCCACATTCCTTCAAGGTATTGCGGCCCTGTAATATATTTGTAAGTATTCAAGTATATCAATGTATTGTTTCTACTTTAACCGTTTGAATACCTTGGAGATAAAGCTTTGATTTATTCTGTGGTAGAATCCGAGTGCACCAACAATCGAACATTATTTACTGATACAGTGACAGTTTTCAACGTGAAATGAGAATAGCGCAACCGTGTTGCACGGTATTCAAACGGTTAATATATAAAACTACAAAAATTTTGTTATGCAACCTTTTATCTTTGCACAATCGAGAAGGTATGGCAAACTCGCAGCGGCTGCTGTTCTAACACCATCATGGAAGTAGAACTTCAACATAGGAACCATTAGTCGCACTACTTCTTCGGCATAATCTGCAAAACCTTCTTTCAACTCTCGTGCGTAACAAACTAACATTTCACAGGCAGAAGCCTTATCTTCCAGTCCAGCTGTTTTAATTCCGAAGTTTTGTTGTTCTCCAAGGGATACAAATTCCCAATCCAAATCTTCTATACCTTCCATGTCCTCGTTATCGAGTAGAGCAACCTCAGGTTTCATTGCTGCTGTACGTAAAACTGGACCCATTACCAGTGGTAAATATTGTTCGAACTGTTTACCTAAAGAGGTTAAAATATTATTTTGAATTTTCTGATAATAATGTGACTTTCGTGTAAGTAGACGTATATTTTCGAAACTTTTCTAACCCTATTTGAAAAAAAAAGTACACATGTACAGTAACATGAAAATTGTCTTTTCTTATGTAAGAAAAATCGTATATTTTCTAAATAGAATTATAACTGATTGGTTTGACATGAAAATGGAATAAATTACCAAGAATTTTGCAAATTCGAGCCCAAGCAGATATCAAATAACTAGTTTGTGGATCGTCATCTGGAAGGTCTCCTTCTGAATGTGTTTTTAATAACATGTCCATAACTTCACTGGCATCTGCAATAAACTACATGATCGCAAAAATATTAATTTCTTTGAATATTCAAACATATCGCTAATTTTGCACTGTTAAAAATAATTATAAATTATTGCCATGTATTACCTTTTCCGGTCCTACTGCAAGTCCTATGAGACTCACGCATTCAATAGTTTTGCCCCGAAGCATTTTGTGTTCTGGCTGATTTGCATTTTGTATGATGTATTTTAAGCATGGCATTAATCTATCATAATATGTTACAAATTGTTCTTCACAAGTATCAGCTACCGACGCGATGGTCGTAACAACCTTTTGTAAAAATAAATTTGATTACATTGGTTATAACATTCAATGTAATTTGTTAAATGTAATTGATATACATACTTGTTCAAGAACAAGTTTCGTTCCTTTTTCGACTAATTCTTGGAATTTAGCGGTTAGTATTGATTCTAATTTAGCCATAATAGCATCCAAATATGGTGTTAATATGTGTTTTGGACAATCTTCACTGAAATTCACAAGAGCCGCACCTGCATGAGCTTGAACCCTTGGATTGGCATTATCATCCAAAACCATTAGCAATCCGGGAATAACTTTATTGTGGAATTTCTTTTCAAATATTGGTGCAAAATCAGCTGACATTTGACCTACTGCATTGCAAGCAGCATATCTTACACGAGGATGCTGAAAAAAAGCTTAATGTAGCAGATAAAAGACTCTAATAATACATAATAGTTTAATATAAATTTTGTACGTTCTATGACTATGACTATTTAAAAATAGTCAACTCTCAAGAACTCAAAAGCCAATATTTTAGTGCAAACATTGTCAGAACGACAATGTAAGACAAATACCATGCTTATGTTTTATTCTACCATGAATGTAACGCTATTACGTTCGTGTGTAAAACATAACTGCTGACTCTATTCATGGATTTTATATTTATATTATAGTTATGGTCCAACTTACAGGATCTTGTAAATATTGAATGACACCATCCATGATTTGAGGTAATATCGCTTCCATTTGTTTATGACAACCTTCTCCTACCGCAGAGATTGCCATAAGAGCAGCATGTCTAAGAACAAACGTTCAGTGTTATCATATGGTTTCGTCAATTATATGATTGTAAAATAATAAAACGGTGATGTTTGTTCAAAAACTATGACAATAGCATTATTAAGCTATTGTCAACTCTCTGGGAAGAACATCCTACAAAAACCTCAAATATCTACCTATCAGAACGATGGGCAGAAACAAAGGATAATTTCATAGGTTACTCTATCACAGATTTAACGCAATTATATGCACAATTCATGTAAATGCTGACATATCTGTGATAACTACAACTACAAAATAACAAAAGTATGGTAATAAAAAGTAAATACCTATATCTCCAATCACTATTACTCAACATTGCAGGTATATTCTGTACAATTTGTGGCAGCATTGTTTTACCACCTAAACCGCATGCTAATCTGTCTAAAGCACTTTCAGCAACAACAGTGTTGCTGTCATTATCATCCTCAACAATTTCATCAGCAAAACTCCAGTTTTTATCTTCTTCTATATCTGTCATCATTTTTAGTACTAATGGTACTAAAGATATTATATACTTTCCACCTACTTTGCGTACCATTGCAGGAGCAGTTTCTGATAATGTTACTAACACTTCTAATGCCAATTGTCTCCAAGAGTCTGGCATTTCTTCATTAGAAAATATTTTCATACACATTTCCATTATGTTTTCTAATTGTAATCTGAGAAATTTAGGAGTTGATCCTGCCAAATCGATTAGAACTTTTAAGAGAGCATCATCTGTTTGCTTTTCTACTGATTGAGCAGTTACTTGTACAACCGCAGGTAGCAATTCTGAGAAGTGTTTCTGTATATTGACTTCTTTATCATGCAAAATGATAAAGGCTCCAATTGCTCTTACAGCTTGAAATCTGACCTAGATAACAGAATTTATTATTTATTACAATCGTGTTTACATTTTGTAAACATTTTATATGAACAAAACAAAAGGTTTGACAAATATGTGAAACAATATTTCTTGTATGCCCCGTATCTGTCTGTAAATTAAAACTTCACAAATTACAGTCATCAGAAGGCAATTATTTATATAGGAAGATTCAGTAACGTGAAGCCTAACTAACACAGTCTCGCGTATCAATCTTCCATATGAAATACTAAGAATGTATCATAATGGATCTCCTAAAGATTTTAATCAGAATTACCTCGTAATTTGTAGAATCCATGACAGACTGCTGCAACATTTGTTTAATAAGATCGAGATAATTTGCTTGTTGATTTCCAAAAACGCCTGGGACGGATCTGTATAGAGAAATATATTTGTCTAATAATTCAAATATAGGGGCAAATTGATTTTCAAGAATAGGAGTCTGTTGCAAACTTACATGAACATTCGAAGAGCACTTTCTTTCAGTGCCGGCAAAGGACTATTAGAACATTGGAATAGGAACTGCAAAAATTCTGGCCACTGATTATTACCATCTTCATCAATTAAATTTCGGGCAACTTCAGCTGCAACCTCACATACTTTACGTCGAATAGTTTCTGTTTGTTCATTCTGAACAGATAATAGAATTTGTTCTTTCAACTGAACTTGTGCTTCTGGTGGAATCTAAGACATAATAATAATAATTACTTAAATTATCAAACAACATATAATTAGCGTAAATATTTTTTTCTTTATCTTAAATTCCTAAAATTTGTATTTGATAAAATTCTTAATATAGTTACACGAAACGTAATAGTTTATACAAATTATGATTAGTACAAGAATTTGATAAAAAGTTGATAGCATATATTAAAAAAGTTGATAATGATTTGTCATTCAGAAGCTAGAAAGACCAGATTCTCATTGGCAATAGTTGTTGGCATAAACTTCAGAATGCATTATATGATTTGAAATTATTTTAGTCTTCAGTCTTCTATATCTATTAAAAAGTAATAATCTCACCATACTTCTGTTATATAATGACATAAAAAGTAATTAATATCTAAATTCAATTAATATCTGAGTTTGAAGAAGCTATCTTAATTTTTGTTTATAAATGTTCAATATATATGAATATTTGTAGAATAGATAAAAGTATTATGTAATTACTTTTGGATAAAAATCCATGAACTCAGATGAAAACAGTCGACGTAATAATACAGCAGCCATAGCTCGCATCTCTTCCATAAGGGTGGCATTGCACAATGATGTTAAAAGAAATGTCACCTTACTTTCCACTGGTAGATTATTATATGCCTCCTAAAATGTGTTAATTTACAATTACTTGTTTACAATAAGTCAATTAATCTTACGTTCATAATTAATACCTAAGATATTTTTTACTGAATGAAGCATTTCCAAATTATCAATAACTGGAATTAATATATAATGCAATGTTGAAAGTTTAAAAACATAAAAGAAATAAAATCATTTAAAATTTATTTAAAGCATTCATAAAACATGTTGGTTACACATAGAAATGAATCTGCAACAGAAACTGTGTACATGATGTTTCATATTGAAGGACAATCCAGTATTGCGTTGTTTCGTTTTAAATCACGAAATAATTACAATATATAAAATGGACAACAAAAATATTAATTATAAAAATATCAAGTGACTGACTATAACTGAGCATTAAAGTTCTCGTGTGAATAAATGAACTTCCTCTAGTATCCAAAGCACGTTCAGGAATGCCGGAAATTGAGCCGAAAACGGCTGCGTGTAGGCGGGAAAGCGAATACACAAATTATAAGTCTTAACAAGAACTCATGTTACGTTTTAAGTAATATGTAACGGAAATAAAAATTGACTTTCATCGTCATTAATGAGAAGATTAAAAAAGACATGTATTGCACATCAAATTTTCAAGAAATTTATATGAAAGTTAAATTGCAGCTGTAATGTAGCTTAATAAAAGGTTGGCGGGGTACATGCTTCTGCACGACACCATTTTGGATTTTATTAAGTTGTTCTAAACACTTGTCAGTATTCTTCTTTTTTTGTCCATTATTTTTGCCATAGATTCGGTTGTGTAACAATGCACACCAATATTCTACAAACCAACTGAGAAGTTACAAATATAATTCAGCATGATTAATCGGTGAATGCTACTCACATGCGAGTTCTGACAACACGTTGGCAACGTGCTCGGGGATTGAAGTATTTCATTTCATGATACATATGTTGTTAAAAACATTAATACATGGAAAATATATATGTAAAAATTAGAAAACATGTACGTACCTCTGCTTGTGTTCTGGCATCGTTATCTGTGCTAAGAAGTGTGTTTAAAAGCTGTTGAAACTGATCAAGGTCTGCCGCCATTGTCGCCGAACGAATGAAGCTACGGCGCATACTCTGGGAGTTGATCGTCAATTTATGTTACCAAGATAAACCATGGAAATATTCCTAGATAATGATAGTGTTATATGGTAGTTCTTTCAGGAAAATAGGACTAGGAAAATTATCCATCGCCGTCCGATATATGCGTGGCATTTGGGTGCCTTGAGAGAAATTAATTTATGTAAATTTATAAGAGAAATTACTTTATTTAAATTTATAGTAAAAATAGCAATGTGCTGTAAAGTGGTGGAGGGGAGACTCTACAAATATGATTGGATGATGTCAATGGATTCCACTGGCAATTCGTTGGAATCGTCCAATCCCATTTGTGAGATTTCCTCTCCGCCACTCGGAGCAGATTTCGAGTAAAATCTCTAACACCTTCGAAACTTCTTTGAGTAGAAATTCCAAGAACGGCTGGTCCCTAATAGCCGTGTTTACAAATCGTATACATATTAAAAACATTTAGGTACATATGCAATAATGGGTTCTACTTCTACACACCTTCAGGCCGCAGCTTGATCTGTAAGCGTTGATCGATACAGATATTTTCTTTGCTCTGATTGGCTGGCGATTTACTACTCAGGACAGGATCCACTGCGGATTGGATGCATAGTAAAATGGTGGAGATCTGCGCGTCATCTTAAGAATTAAGAAAAGCGTGTAGGAGTAGGTCAATAACAGCAAAAATTTGACAAGTTTAGTTGCACTGGTGTTTATAAGATGGCGCCTAAGTAGAAAGATTGTCAACGTGGAATCGGAGGTAGTTGCAAGCTTGCGTTATAATACAGATTTCCAATAGATTGTGAACCTCAAAAACTAAATTATACTAACTTATATTCTGTTACTATGTTGTACAGAGAGATTTATAAGAGCGTCTAGTCGTAAGGTACATTAAGTGATAATGTGATATGATATAAGAAGAGAGCATATGCTGCCAACCATGTACGGATAACAGTGTAAAAGGGAAAAATGATTTCCCTATCACTTCAATAAATCTAACCTAAACCTAAACCTAAACCTGGATGCAAGCTTGGATTATGATTGTATCGAATGCCTATTCGCGTATCGGTAGTATATGTCTGTATATGCAACTTTTCTATACATGCAAGTACTCCTCTAGTTTGGTTTTTCGGATGCATGGGGATGACGAGCAGTTACAAGCAGTTGCCCATATCCATATACGCGACCAGAATGCTTTAACTCTATACATTATTTGAAATTGCAATTAAATTTGTATACAAATTGCTCCTTAATTGCCTATAATTGCTCATCAATTGGTTTTGCTAAGTTTATTAATTGCTCACTTATCCTTTTCGAGAAATATCCAAAAAAACTTTTTGAGACGTCTAGTGACTTTTATGAGAGGCTGGGGACTTTAAAAAAAATACGAAAATTCTGAAATAATGCATAAAACGTGCTGTATGATTTACTAACGCGCACGCAAATGCTGAGTAATTATTGCGGATCAAAAGTGGATCAAAGAAGAAGTCTCCGATTCACAAGAATCAAAACGAATCAGAGCAGAAGGCTCCGATTCTTTCAAAGTGAGAAACAAGAGGGAGTCATAGCAGAAAGCACTGACTAATAGAAAACGCCGGTGGCTCCATCTCGTATTTATCAAGCAGCTACACATTTCTAGATAATATCATTTATGTAACGAAATCTGTACAGCAGATATCGACCTGCTGAATCCGTAAAGTCACGTGACTACCCTAAGCCTTTAATGCTTGTTTTTGCTGTCTGTGTCTCGAATTCGTGAATTATCGGTAATGTTGGGCGCGACATCGAAATGGTAAGAGGGACCTGACTGTTTTGAGCAGTCCTGAGGATCCCACAAATCCAAGACAGAAAAGTCCATAAAATGTAATATCTCTTTGAACTTTGAATCATAAGTGTATAATAAAAAATTCTATAAGATGCAATGCTTGTATGGATCCTAAGTCTACATTTAAGCCTGTGCCACAGACTTGTGTCTGTGCCATGAGATAAGAAAAAGCTATGCTGTAAATGATCGTTATCTCCAAGAGATACATATCCAATTGATGCCGGAAATGCGTAGAACGGTGTGCAACAACTCACTGAAATGTCTATCGCAAAATATAAATAAAATATATCCACATATTAAAATTTAATTTCTCTTTTATCAATTAGATCTTAATTTAATGATCTTAGAAAACTATAGCAATGCAATTTTTCGAGCAATTTTTCAAACTATGTACATGTTTATATCGTTAGCTAAAGTGCATATAAAAATATTGGATATTGGTTCCAATGTCTAAGAACGGGTGCAACTTTTTAATATAATTATGAATGCAATTTTACATTTCGATGTCAAATGAGCACCGATGAATAAACAAATATAATGAAATTATAATAATAATATAATAATTATTTTAATAAATTCTTGCCAGTTTAATATTAGATAAATCTAAAGAACGAAAATGACGCTGAACGTGTCGAAAGTTTTTTTTTAGAAGGGGGAATTTCGATTGGCATTCTCAATAAAATTATAATCGAGATTCGTTTCAAATTTCAAACAATTTTATTAACAAAGCTTAACAACCAATAGTTATGGAAAGTGTTTGTAGCGGTAACACAGACGTATTAGATAAAATTGAAGTTCCACATCAAACATACATCGTAGCACAGTACAGTTTCATTGAAATCGACACAGTCGAATCTACATTTTGTAACTAATTACCGCGTTCCCTCCCTATAAGCGAGCATTGCCGATCTTCTTAAAATAACATCCGCATACGCATCATGCTACGGACTTAGCTGACAAGACAAAAAAAAACGTGACGCCAAACAATGAAACGTCCGTTCGACATCTTAAGCATTGGTGGCTATTGGAAGGGAACACTGTCACCTGACATCATGCCTAAGTACTCCCTATTCTCCATCATCGGACACAGAATTACCGTAAACAGCAAAGTGTAAATACTACATGTCACAACACTATATAACATCTAACACACGTTTAGATTTCACTAATCTAGCATGATCTATAATTGCTAACTGTTTACTATTTGAACACCGGTTCATACACAGACGCGTTACTCTTGGTACATATACGTGGTAGCCAGTTGGTTTAGGAACGCAATTACAAACACACATTCGCCTCGTTTGCTAACATACATTCATTTCTGTTAATTATCGATACAAAACTACAAATTAGTTGTTCGACTAGCAGCGATGGTAGTCGCCCCTTGTCCCTTACATTAGGCGTGTTCAAAATGGTGCTCGTAGAAGTCAAAAGACTCAGAATCAAACACTATCATGATTGTTGTTGGACAAAACGAAGCTAATGATTTTATATTCACTTTTCTTATCCCTTTACTACATAATTGATATAATAATTTCACATTTCACATAGATCTTCTACTCTCTGCTTTTATATCTTTTTCTGTCATCAATCGCGTATTTCTCTTTCTCGCTTCGAACATCGTTGTCCTTACTTCATATCTTTCCTTCCAAACTACTTCTTCCTAAAATTATAAGTACTTGTTTTCATATACAATTTAAAATTTGACCAGTCCATCCCCTTTCCTTTTTTCCGTACGTCAATTTCTTTTCGAAGCTTCGACATTTTGCGAGGCTATTTGAACACGCCTTACGCCTCTGAATCTTTCTTGGAGGAATTTATAATTATTAAATAATTCTTTCATCCCGAATCTACAAAGAATTCGTGTAAGATGTTCTAATGAAACTATCGTACGTAAATGGTGAGCTAATTTGCCTTCTCTGCTTATGAGGATGAAATTATTGACTGTCACTACTTTTTGTGTAGCTTACAACTTGTATGATATCGTTTGCAAATGGAACAAATAATAATAATGAATACCTATTAACGTACAGAGTCTTAGTACGATGACACCATTTCAATATTTATTCGTAAATACTGACGACAGGAAGTTTAAATAAAAGTATTTGAATGTGTTAATGGATTGAAGGCTTAGGGGTCTTGATCTCACTAGCTATTCTATATTATATGATTTAGGGAAATTTCAGTCGCCCTTTAGAAAAGTTGTATTACACAAAACTTTTCACGGCTAGGTCACGTAAAAAATAAAAAAATGGTGCCCCGACAGTTCATCTGTTCAAATTCTATCTCCCTGATCAAGCGGTTATTAAGACATCGAAAACATCGACTGATTACGAAATAGTCAGGATATTGTTTCCTATCGCTTTGTCGAGGGCTATTTTACTTTTCTTACTATCGTACGTGACTACACACATATTACAAATACTACACGTTCAATGTTATCTACGATCCAAATTTCGAGTATTAATGTGTCAGTGCTGTCCAAGTTTCGTTTCAGGACTTTTCCATTTTGCTTTTGTTTTCTAAATTACCATAATTAACTACAATAATATCGATCACCGTCTACGCGAAAGAAAACATCTGAGAATGTAATTTCTACCTCTCTTACGACTGCTGTAGATTTAAGATGCGATTATAGATCATTTATTCAATTTGAAATTATCGGAGCTTTACAAGTTTTGCTGTATTGTAAGGAAGAATAAAATTGGAGGATTGTGGTTATTAAAAATATTTCTGTACACCGTTAAAGACATTACGTAGTTCGTAATGTTCTTATAAATTCAGTGATCAATTTTATGTTCGCAATTACTTATGAGTGTAAATGAGGTAAGCTTTACGTTTATCTAATTTTATACGTGCATTTTGTGTAACATCATCCTTTGCATCCTAAATCTACACGACGTTTGGTAAGCACAAATTGTGGACAGCACTGAAGTTTACGGTTAGACAGTGAGAATTTATGCAATCTCAGCTTCTTATATGTTAATTTACACGGATTTTAATGCAAGAAAAATATTTCGAATTTCCTTTACGTGCGAAGAAAATTAAAACTTTGTTCGGTATTCTTTCTTTCATATAACGTTTGCTATGATTGCATAAAGTTCGCAGTTCAGGGTACAGCTAAATGACACTTGGTTTATGACGATGCTTCGGTTACTAAAAAATCTACTTCAAACACCATGGAATCAAACAATACACAAAGAAAAACGTTATGAAATTAGAAAATTCTACGTTCGGTTTTGCAATTTTTTACTCGACCAGTTTTGGAAGCGCTCGGTGAAGTGCATCCAAAACATTTCGACGTGCATTATTCAGAAAATATCACGAAGATATCGTAATTTATTTATTAGACTAATAAAGAATCTAGCGAACTTCTCGACTAATATTAGATGAAGGAAAAAGTGCAGTGAGTTAAACCATGTTGTTGGTTTATTAAAATAAAAGCGGAGGATATTCACCGGTACACCGCGAAACTTCCTTAAGACGTTTCTGTCAAAATATATATGTTATGTATATATATATATATATATATATATATATATATATATATATATATATACTTTTTTTCTCGTAGAAATTTACATCTATGTAATTTATCGGATACATGCCCAAAGCTTAACATTCTAAAGCTGACTTATAGAAGAAAATCGGTTAGATACGTGCCACAAAGCGTACGGATCAGTGGCTCTGGACACATAGATTGGTCGACTGTTTCTTTAGCAACGTCATCGAGAAGTGACGGGATCCGAAGTTCCGGTTCACACCGGGAACCGTGAATATGTAAATAACGGCCAAGTAATGTTATTATTGTACACTTAGAGAATCAGCGGTTAATGGTCCTTTGATTTCTTAATTGATCTCCGTGCAACGAGCAATGCAGAAGTTTTTCGGTCTCGTCGTCGATGAGTGTACAAATGTTCAATAATTCGGCCGATATTTATAAAAATGCATCTGCGAGCGAATTGACATTTTTTTCGACTTGTCCGTACAAATTCGTTTACGCTATCAGACTGTCGCTATACCTAGTTTAGCACGCGCGAAGAAACACACGCTGCGAGTATGTTTACCCGGTGTTTGGGCATAAACACTATAACCAAGAGGAAAATATTTCTGTACGGAAGATTTGATTGAAAACGTATAAATAAAGATATCCTTTTTATAGTCTCTCTTCTCATTCAAACATTTTTGATAATTATTTCAATTGAAAGAATCCTAAATTAGCAAAGTAAATAGTGTAATATAGATTTTAATTTCATTTTTAAATATATTTTAATTTCTTTCATT